TGAGCCAAAAGTAACTCAAAAACGAAATTTTATTTCACATAAAAACACATATTTTTGGTTTATTTTTATGTGAATACATATTTCAAAGATATTCATAAAAACCACATAAATACAACGTTTTTAATTTATTTTATCCATTTTTTCTCTTCCGCGTGCATCATATTCCACATTTTTGTCCCCATATTTATTTGCACGTGATTTCTGTATGCAGTGAGTACTATGGTATCTTGTTTCTGCATTCGTCACTTCAGCAAATTCTAGACCTGCTGACAAGTTCTGTTTTATGCATGCGGCTACCCGTAATTTTTTGACTGGCTGCTTTCTTTTTGTTATCTATCTGACTCGGTAGATACTGTTTCAATTGCACACCGTACGTAAAATGCCTTAAGTTAAATCGAGCACTAATTCGCGTCGTCACTCTTCAACAGTATCCAATATACAATTGAATTTAAAAACATGTAAATTTTACGGCGTCCCATGAACCCTCTCTTAAAATACGCAAGACATTTCCTGTGACGTGAAACAGTGTTTCTCGCAGTACAAATTATTATTTAGGGACAATCGACAATCACCTGAGATCGATAATTTGGAGATGCCTTTTGTTGTACATTGGCAATGCTAAAGAAACTCCTGGTAAGTAATGTTCAGCTACATAAAAGACGTCTTCTTTTCGTTTTTGTCGAGGTTTTTTTCGCGAAAATTGTCAAAATAATTTTAAGTTTTTAGTAAATATTTTAATGTTTTTAAGCACATAAAAAATAAATATTTTGGAAGTTTTTAGCACCTAAAAATCCGCGCCCTAATGATCAATAATTGCAAAATTCCCTGTTAATGGATCTTATCTGACAGAATAAACTATTATGCAATGACTACTTTAATCTAAATATTTATTTCTTTATGCTAAGTTTTTTTGCTTTTCTAGATACAGCAATTTTAGTGAGAAAAGAGGAAGTAATGTGAGAAAAAAAAAAGAAAATCGGTACAGAAGAATTTGTAATTCCAACTGCAATAAGAAGATTGACTAGACTCATTTTCCAAAAAACGATGTTGCTAATAAAAATTGACACCCGTTCACTCAGAATTCGATGGCTCAAAATTCTTAAAAGTTCAATGAGCTTCAAATGACCATTCTGATTGCAAAGTTATAATAATCACGATATACAATTTGGATGAACACCCAAGTCTCTAGTCCAAATTGTACAATAGTATTATTATTATTAAAAAAATTACACAAATCTCGCACTGTGGTCCCCGGATACATATGTTTCTAGATTACTATTCTACGAAGCACTAAAAAAATCCTTAAGAACACAATTGACAGAGTACACGCGACTATTCTGATTTACGTGCTTTTTATAACAAAATATTAAGTAGTGGTTCACTAACTACTCCTTGACTAATTGTAAAAATATCTTTGTTCAATTAATTAAGTCGGTAAGCGTTTAAAAAGCTATTTGATAGCTAGACCTGAGTATACGAGCACTATATCATATACTTACATACACTTATAAAAATTTCTCTCAGTATAGGCACAATCTCAGTAACAATGTTGATTTGATTTCTGCTAAAATGCAGAACCTTTTGATTATCTGCTGTGTAAAGAATTTCGGGGAAAGCACTTTCTTACGACAAAAGCAAATTATCTAAAGCGATATTTTCCGACCACAAACCCCCTCGAGGCACAATGAATTATTTAAGACACTAAACATGCGAATGGTGCTATTGTTATATCACGTGCGTTTTTGTGCCCATTTGAAGTCATCTGCGCGAGGTTTACACGATGTAGTATACTCGATAATGTACTCCATTATCGTCCAGAAATGCAATTTTTCTAGTGGCCAATTGAGCCATCCGGTTGTAATACAGAAGTAGGTTTCGTGAGGTGCTACGTGATGTATTCGATGGTGACGTCGTGGTAGGATGATGTGATGCTCTTGTAACCAAACCACCCACCCAGGTAACCCGAAGTGTACGTATGAGACCATTTATGTATCTGTAAAATAAACTGAATAAGACAAAACGCTAACTTGCAGATAAACAAACTAACCTGATTAGTCATAGCTACAAATATTGCTAATAAAAACACATAGCAATTCCATATAAACTTTTTTTGTACTTCTTCTTCAGGTAACGTTAAGAAGTCCCATAACATTCGTGCCAAAAAAGGAATGGTGACCATAAAATTGTCACCATTAGTCTCTATAAAGTCATGCCGGGTGATTGATGTGGGATCTATGTGATGCTCCCGAAAAGGCCGGAGGAAGTTCTGAACATGCTTTCGGTTATTATTGTTCGTTAACAAAGTGCGTTACCTTTCCAATTATAGGTAGGTCCACTGAACCCCACGTATCTGCACCCCAATGCACCAAACCGGAACCGAAATCCGCCGTAACGATACCACATAAAGCTGCAGTAATAATAGCACTCATATTGCGTATTCGAAAATGTAAAATAAGGAATCCGCAATTAAATGCCATTAATGTTATGCAAATACCCACGCAGATACATTCTTGCGTCCGTTTACCTAAAATGAAAAAAAAGAAAATTATTAAATTTTGTAATATCAACATTCTTATTTGCGAAAATATTTGTATAATGTTCAACAAATTTATTTATATTTGGTGACTTAAGTAATTTGAAATTGAGTCAGGCTAACTTAAGAGTTACAGTTGAAATGGGACAATCTAAAAAGTGAAAAACTTCAAAATAAAATTTATGGATTCCGTAATTGCCTAATTAATGTTCTGGAAATTGATTTCCTTAAGGGCCAAATTTTAATTTTGACACCCTTTGTATCGCACTGCATTCTGATTATTCAAAGCTAATACCTATCCCAATGTTGCTTATACAGGGTGTTTTTTTGGGAGCTTTAGTTAAACGTTTCCGGGAAAGTAAAATAGATAGGTTTTTGAAAATTTGTACTTAGGAGTTACTCTGAAGGCCGAATCGATGTAAAATATTTTCAAAATGGTCGCACTTCCGGAAACACCGGAAGTAGATAGTAACCTCGTTATTTTAAACGGCAACCCCTATTTTTTTATTGCATTTTTGGATTCTACGTGAAATTTCAGTTCTTTTGATACCCACACGTCGATAGCTGCCATTTATGGTTTTTAAGTTATTTTGACTTTAAGAAAAAAAATGGCTCATGCAGATGGTACATTGATAATTGATTACTTGAAAACGGTTGTAGTCATGGCAACCTATTTTTATCAGTGCATAGAGAATAAATAGGGCTTTTCTTTTAGTGCACTTAAAAAAAAGTTAAGTTACGTACGACCGCCCCTATGGAGATCCAAATGTATGAAACTTCAAAGACTAAAAACGTTTTTTTAAATGGAATGACCATTTTCTTACTATTGCATGAGATAAAGAATCGAAATGGGCATATTTTGACAATACATGTTCCTATAGCTATCTTTAACAGTTTCTGACTTTATTCCCAATTTATTGAATTGACACCTCGATTGGCACCATTTTTTTAATTTTCTTTTTAGTAGTCGGCCATGATTTTATAACAATCGAATTTTAAACAAATCTAGTGATTCTAATCTGTCACCTACTGTTGTAGGTAACATAAGTTTTTCAAAAATCGAAAAATGACTCGCAATTGTTTCACCTATTTTGGAATTTAATTGTTATTTATGGTGAAATGGGCAGAATCGCGGTACGTGCCTGCCGTACATTCATTCGAACACTGGAACGAAATTGTATGAATTTTGGAAATGTACCACCAAATGCACTACAAACCGTTCAAGCACAAGTGATGCAAAGCTCTACAAGAGAATATTTAAGAAAATGAATTGAATTATTTAGACTAGAATCAATGATATTAAAGAATCCTTTCCTTGTTTAAATTTTGATCGTTATAAAATCATGGCCAACTACTAAATAGAAAATGCGAAACAAAATGGCATAAATTCAATGAAATGGGAATAAATCAGAAACTGTTCAAGATAGCTGTAGGAACATGTAATATTAAAATATGCCAATTTCGATTCTATATCTCATGCAATAGTAAGAACATGGTCATTCCATTAAAAAAAACTGAGTTTTAAGACTTTGAACTTCTATCTCCATAGGTGCGGTTGTATGCAACTTAACTTTTTTTAAGTACATTAAAAGAAAGCCCTATTCATTCTCTAAGCACTGATAAAAATGGGATGCCATGACTATAACCGTTTTCAAGTAATCAATTATCAAGGAACCATCTGCATCCACCATTTTTTTTTTCATAAAATCAAAATAACTTAAAAACCATAAATGGCAGATATCGACATGTGGGTATCAAAAGAACTGAAATTTCACGTAGAATCCAAAAATGCAATAAAAAATAGGGGTTGCCATTTAAAATAACGGAATTACTATCGACTTCCGGTGTTTCCGGAAGTGCGGCCATTTTGAAAACATTATACATCGATTCGGCCTTCAAGTAACTCCTAAGTACACATTTTCAAAAACCTACCTATTTTACTTTCCCAAAAACGTTTAACTAAAGCTCCCAAAAAAACACCCTGTATAAATAGGTGCCTTGGAATAATATGACCAGTGTAGAACATTAAATTTGATTATATTGACTATGTAGCTAGGTAATTCTGCAAACCAGCGAATCCTGAATAAATATCACCCATTCAAGCCATCGACACGCTATAATTTTGTGCCAATTTTTGCCGTATCATCGTATACCTAGTGCAAATTTTGTACTCAAGTCGTAACGGAAAAATTCGAAACTCTCAGTCTGTATATCCAAATTCTTCATTACTCATGTCATTTCATAGGAAGAGAACCATTTAAGTGCACTTAATTTAAAATCTGTTACCTATTATTTAAATTATGCCTAACATCATTGAATAATTATTTTTTATTCAATGCTAACACCAATGGCAATGACCCAACCTACGATCCAAGTGTCTTCCTCTTCCAAGGGCTCTAACTCTCACATTTTTGCTAGTGAGGTATTCTGAAAACATTCAAAATAAACTGCAAGCATGTATCAACAGCTTCATTGTTCGTAAAACGCATTTTGGAAGCACAAAAATTGCTCAAAGTAGCGTGAAACTATTACAATTTATGTTTTGATTAGGTATTTATTTATTTTGTTGCCCATGGCCTGCTTTTATTAATTATATTTTTCGTGTATCCCATAGTGATTTTGTTATTCGCATTACATACTTACCTTTTAGCGTTATTTTGAAATATTTTCCAAAAGGGCGATTTTATTCTGATGAATAAAAAAGAATTCCAGAAAAATTAGTTTCAGAAAATAAAAAATTAAGGGTATACAATTTTCTTTGACCTAAATTTAGGTTAGGAACAAGAAATCGAGATGCGGTTTTCGTGAGCTTTTTTAGGCAACATTTAGCTATACTTTTTCATGAAAAAAAATCACGCCAATGCATTTTTTTTTTGAGAAAATTAACCATTTCTGTTGGAATGTCGAAAAAACACTCTAGCGGCGACATGTGAAACTAACAAAACTTGAAATATTATGTAGCCCAAGAATAGCATTTTTCAAGTAGCGCAAGTTTGTTAAAATCGGCTCAGCCGTTCCGAAGATACGGGAGGTTGGAGGTACCAACTGAAAATTTTGAATATCTCCGGTACGGCTTGAGCACAACATTTGCATTATACGTCAAAAATTGGCCCAAAATTATAGAGTGCCCACTGTCCGTGGCTTGAATACCTTCATGTGGTATATCCAACTTCACAGACCTCGATTTCAATGTTACCCTAACGTTAAGGAACGTTATGCTGTTATGTTACTTCTAGCATTATATCAACTGTTGTTACAACAACTTGTTACCTCATTTTTCCAAAAGTGAAAATGTGCCATTTATCCATCTTTGCATAAGCATTACATATAAATAATTATTAAAAGAATGCCTTCTGTACAAACCTTCATAATTCTCAACGCAAAAAATTAAATTGTAAGTGCACAATTTCAATTGCTATTATTTCGACTTACATTAAATCCACACAATTAAACTTATTTAATATGCCAAGATGATTAATCTCACAATGAAGTTGATTATTGAATGACGCCTTATGTATTATGACGTAGCAGACGTGTTTCCCCATTGCCCTCTTCCCTCGACCGAATTTATTGGCAACTTTATACGATTTAAAAACAGCAACCACATTATTTAACTCGCCATTTCAGTATTTTGGAAAATGTGTACGAGAATATCGAAGCAAAATCAGTGAAAGAACATTTTTTGTGAAAATGTCTGTAAGAGATTGAAAGAGTTTATTTTTCCAACCTTCAAGTACTTACAAAGACTTTGCATATACTCATTTATATCATTAGTACAGTTGATCTCCAATTAAAAGGTCGGATACTCTTTCTTGCTCATTACATCCAATATGACAGGTTGTGAGCCTCAGTTGGAGTTTTTATACCAAAAGTAACCACAGAAAATTCCCAACTAAATAGTTTGTATGTTAGATATTTCAGAATACGCAGGAAAAGGCAATTAAGAGTAATGAAAAGAATAATAATTTAGAGTATTTGCGACACTAATTTCATATTGCGAGTCGTCGAACGTGATTCCAAAGAACATTTTTAAGCCTTGATAAAAAAAATTGGCAGCATCTAACGGATGTGAATTAAATATATTTACCCACGTTTAAACTGTTACAAAAACTGGATGTTTGATATGTGACAATTTAGTTGCGCTTTTTGTGGAGGTGGTTTACGTATATTAAACACAAATAGCACCTTCAATTAAGCATCACAGTGTGTTTGTTTTACTAAGATGTAGACACATGCGCTTGTTTAAACAATAGGTATCATACCTACCAACTTTTGTGATACCACAACTCTGTCGACTGTTGTCAATTAAGCTTGGTAACATGTAACCATATACGTAATTTTGTTGTGACTAGAAAGTATCAATAAGTAAATAAAATAAGACTCTGCAATTATAAATCATCAGATGAACGTTGACATCATCCCTACTTGATAAGAGGAAAAGTGAACGCAAATAGGAACCTTGAGGAGCACCAACTATTCTGTAAGATTCACGTCGGGACATCAAATATCGATGAGCGCACATCACTCTGCTCTGCTGTCACCATAAAATAAATATTTCGTAATACATAGAATAAAATTGATTTTCTTCTATTATGCTCTAGTTACGAACTTTCCCATTGATTATGTAATTGTCTTTCATTGAAATAGAAACGCAACCTTAAGTACTTCCATATTTTAATTGAATTAACCCTTATCCAGTGGTATGTCTCAATGTCTCATTAAAAAATGCCGACGTAAATACAGCTATCAGCGGATATTAACGCGCTCATTTAATGTAAGGTTACTAGACCTTTTTTAATTTGACAAAAATTTACGATGCCGTCCCGTTTAGTCACGCACAAGTAGAAGTTATGATGTTATTTCATTAAGGCTTACCTAATTACGTCAATTTATAATACCACATTTACAGTTTTCGGTATAATTGGTAAATAAATCTGTTGCCTAATATTTGCACAGAAAAAAAGTGAGGATTACAGCGGACTAGAATCAAC